ATGTGGCTAAAATCATCAAAATACCGAATATCGGGGGGTACCGTTATATGGGGGCTATACGATATCGTGGACCGATATAGCCCATTTTCGAACTTGACCTGCAGACAAAAGAGGGATCTGTGTAAAATTTTAGCTTCATATCTTTATTCGTTTAGACTGTAGCGTGATTACAACAGACGGACAGACATGGCTAAATCGTCTTAGAATTTTACGCTGATCAAGAATATATATACTTTGTTGGGTCTAAAATAATTATTTCGATGAGTTACAAACGGAATGACGAACTTAATATACCCTCCATACTATGTATGGTGGAGGGTATAAAAAAACAAAATCAGTTGTTGCATGTTTAAAAATCGAATTGACACAAAAAGGCTCCAGTATGGAGTTGCTTTTTTATTTGAATTTGAGCAACTGTTCTTGTTGAGCCACGCTTGTAACCATGGTAGGAAAATACAGGTAGATGCTCAACGCATGGGATCATTGATGCAACAAGCCTTTCAAATTTAAATAACAAAATAACACCTAACAATGCCGACGACATAGTTCGCTGTTATCGTTGAAATGCTGCTTTTGTAGAACATCATACAAAAGTTGCAGTCAACCATGACACGATCCAACCTTTGGCAGTGACATACATAAATCAAACAGGTCGATTATGTTGGGTGCCAATTTCGATCAAATACTTAGAACATGATTTCGTAAAAAATGTTCGTGTGTCGAAAAAACTCAATTCAAACAATTCGTCTCGTGCTACCCTTTAATATAAATCGCATTTTCATATTAAGCGAGTATTCACCACAACTAAGGTATTAATTTTAAGATGTAGATGGCTCTCGATATAAAAATACATTTTTAATATTGTAGACAAAAGAGTGCACTTTAATTGTTCCACTAAAGTTCACCATACACAAATTTAAAAATACTAGCCATACATTGTTTTTTGAAAATGTCACCCTGTGGCTTGTTGACTTGCCAGGGCACACACCAGTGACATATTTATTTATATGTCAATTTTTTTTAATTTCTTTTCAAATATAAGTAGAATTTTGTATGTTTCCTTATACGACACAAATCGTGGGTTGTAAAGATATGTATTTTTCAACAATTTTTACAAATTTAAATAATTTTTCATTCAACATTTTCAATTCCAAAATTGGTTTGACCGTTCATTGTCCCAGCAGCTGCGTCGATGCGTCTACCTATATTCTTCTACCATGATTCATACTATGAAGTTTAACCCAATGGGATTATGTATAAATGCCGCTCAGATAATGTTTGTTTGTGATGTTGAAAAATAAGTGTTTATTCACATTAATGACAGTCTGCATGGAAAAAATGTGTCATGGGAAAATACTATTTTTAGCAGCGAACGAAAACAAACGAAACAATTAATGCTAGGAACACAATTGGAGCGAACGACGAATTTCGCCCTACGCGGCGACAAAATGAGCCGCGAAAATTCGTCGTATGGAACACAATACCGACGAAATTATAAAACAGCTGATGAAGTTGTTTACTCTTTGCTCATTTGTTGACTACAATGAATTATACAAGAACACATAATTCTTTACGTTCTCTATTATAATTTCACTTATGTCCATCTTCTCTATTATAAATTCACTGATATCCATCTTCACTCAGGCGCAAGTACACAAATAAATAAACAAATTAATTGTGTTTTTTTTTTATACGAGTAACAGATAGTAGAGTGACCATAACAAATTTTAAAGTAAAAAGTAACTTTATTTACTAAAACACATAAAATTCGTACAAGTATGGCCACCTTGTACTGTTTTGTTCGCCGGTCGCCGGCGTATGAAATAGAAATAAAGCTAATTGAGTTCGCGGCGACCGACGAAATTTTCGCCGGTGCCGTGATTGTGTGCACTTCCATATACACATATGTGTTTTATTTTTGACGACGAACATACGCCGCGAAAAAATTCGTCGTTCGCTCCAATTGTGTTCCTAGCATAACGTACCGCTCACACGAAGTCACAAACTTTTTTAATTTTTTCAATCGTTTTGTACTTCATACAAAACATGGTAGAAGAATATAGGTAGACGCGTCGACACAGCTGTTGGGACAATGAACTGTTAAACCAATTTTGGAATTAAAAATGTTGAATGAAAAATTATTTAAATTTGTAAAAATTGTTGAAAATCGCGAATTATAATAGCCTCCGAATGACATTGTATAAGAAAACGTGAAAAATCTACTTATGTTTGAAAAAACATTTAAATTTTTTTGAAATATCAATGCTCCCAAGCTTTGATGCATCTACTTGTATTCTTCTGCCATGATACAAAACAAAACCACAAACCTTTCAACGCCAGAAATACACAAACAGTACGTTTGTTTTAATGTACTATGGCCGTGAGTTGCCAATCTGTTCTGTTTGCGAACAAATCGCCAGGAAACGTTTCCAAACGTTCGCTGAGCGAAATTATGACTTGTGTAGTTAGAGTTGCCATTCTAAATAATATTTTTATATATTTTTCCGTTGTATGCTAGACATAATTATAAGTTTTTCTCTTGGTGAAAGGTCGAAGTATTGTTATACGTTTTCCATATTCTATTTTAAACAAATTTATTTTTTTTCTTGCTACATCATTCAGACCATCGCCAAACAAAACTGCCTATATATTTTTGCACAATACTGGCAACACTGATTGTATTCAAAAAGCTAGTGACACAATGAACTGTCAAAAATGTAAATTTAAATTAAAAATTTGTTTGTTTGTTAAACTTGTTTAACTATAATAAAAACGACACCAATCACATTGTACAAAACATTATTTAAAAATCTACTTATTTTTAAAGTATTATTATAGCATTTTTGAATTTTCAATGTTCACATTAAATTGTTTACATTTGTTTACACTAATAAATCTACCTATATTTATCTACGATGACAATTAGCAGCTGAAAATTTGTAAGACCAAGCCGCGACTTTGTAAGACCATGCCGCGTCCAAAAAATGATATAACACTAGAAATCTTTGATTTCGACGATCAAAATAAACGATTTATGCGCAAAAACGGAGACTACCATAAAACATTATGCTGACATGAAGGTAATTTAGAAAGATACTTAAAAACTGCACATCCTAATCTTTATCAAAACTACATACAAATGGAAAATGAACAGCCAGTTAATAAAAATGCATTAAAAATGTCATGCATAATTGATAAGAAAAGTGTGGAAATAGCATTTGGAGTTGTTTACTAAAAATGGCAGACCACTTCGTATGACAGAAGACCGGCCATTTAAGATTTTATATATTTTTCAGGAAATAATTGTACACTACATATTTTTCTAAATCTGAATTTTCTAATTCAACCTCTTGTGCCGAACCAAGTAATACTGAAGATGCACTTGAAGCTTACCTTAAAACTTGTGATAGACTTTCCTGCAGTAAGCCACTCATAAAAAGTATTGAACCTGACCTCCTAATTTATAAGAAATATTCTTTTGCATTTTAAATTTAATAATCCAAATTCTAAAATTGACATTTTTGAAATTAAAATAATTTACTGAAAAGTAATTTAAAAAAGTAATTTTTTGTTAAAATTTTTAGACATATAACTCTGACACTTGTATTAGGTACAAAAACAAATTAGTATGTAGTTGTGACCATGGTAGAAGAATACAGGTATTCGCATCGACATAGCTGCTGGGACAATGAACTGTCAAACCGATTTTGGAATTGAAAATGTTGAATGAAAATAATTGGAATCTGTAAAAATTGTTGAAAAAATCATAATATAACAACCACCGATTTGCGTCGTATAAGAAAGCATTTAAAAATATAATTATTTTTGATAAAACATTTTAAAAATTTCGACATATCAATGTTACCTATATTCTTCTACCATGGTTGTGACCATGGCTCAATAAGAAAGGTTGCTCAACTTCAAGGAAACTAGAAAAATTCAACTCTGTAACGGACGGTGTAACGGTGTCAAATAGACTTTTAAATATGCAACAGCTGGTTTTGTTTATTTTTATTTTTTTTTATAAAATGTTTATATTCGGGAAACCCGCGAAACAAGAATGGAATTTAGGGGTTATTCTAAAGGGTTGAATCTAAAATTGTAGGACAATACAGTTTTATCACAAAATTGCACACTTTGTTTTGAAATAATTTCAATTTATTGTATTTTTTTTTCAAAACTATACGCACACATACACTAAATGTGGTAGCTTTGTTGTACCCTCAGTTATTTTGCCATGGTTGTTACGTTCGTTGTACAACAGCACTTGATGTTACCTGTATTATTCTGCCATGAGAGGGGCATAGAAATCACCATAATTTTTTCTTATGGAAGTCTTGTAATGTTAAAACTATGGTAGGTTTACTAAAATGTAGAAAAAACTATAAAGCATATAATTCAATAGCAAGATGTTGATAGTAAAATCATATTCCGAAATTGGTTAATTTTAATAATTCCATATACTTCCTCTCAATGTATAGTCAGAGATTTTATGGTAAAAAAGTATAGCCGATATATAGCCAATGGTTAATGATTAGGATTTTTCTTAAATTAAATCATTGTGATAAAAATTCAAAACGTATCTGGGTAACAATCATTGAAAAACATTTATTTAATTTTTATGATAAATGAATTATTGTACACACACACAAGTATTTTCATAAAGACTTGAACCTTTTTATAACCCCCAAGCCAAATTAATATATAGTTAACTTCACATATACAGACATTTAAATTAAAGTATCTTAGCTACTTGCAAATTAATTACTGAAGTTAGTTATTCATAAAATGTTTTGTAGTAAGTAAAAAGTGAAATTTAATTTTCTAACGGCTGCTATTTTTTAGAATTTGTCAATAATTAACCCTAATTTCAATTTACTTCCCATCTTAAAAAAGCCCTGTTTTATTTTCAGTAAAATTAGATTTAAAAACTAATTATATATGTATATTAATCATGAATTCCATTTTACCTTCATAAAAGATATGATTAATACCTCGTATACTTTTCTATATTTGACGCTACGCACGCGTTATGTTACATTACAATATGTTAGTTACTTGGCTTAAAACGCATTACCTGCTTTCGTACGGTTTCTGTTCACTTCCTAACGGGTTTCCATTTATTGGTAGTGAAGAATTTTTCAGGTAAGACAGAAATTTTGTGTGTATCACTTTTGACCAAGAGAAATGACTACCTGTTGCAATGGAATATTGAAATATGTGAATTTATTACGCAGCAAGTGCAATTGACGGACTCAATATAATCACGATGTCACATTTTCGGCATAACGAGGGGGATGTTGCAAGACAAAGCAGCAGCAAAGAAATGGAGGATGGCCAAAGACCACACCACAGTGGTAGATACCAAGAAAATCCCAGTCATATTATGGAACATTTAGCCACGTTTACAGTGAACGAAGACGCTGGAATTGTCACTCCGATTGATGGAATGCGACGACTTCTACAAATGGAAAAGAACACAGGTATATGGTCGCAAAAAATGAAGTTGTGTTTGGACAAAAACAGTGTGCTCATAACTGATTTTGAGACGGGGGTGAGTAAGCCACACAAAGAAAAGAAATGACACGAAAACTAATAAAGCATTTGTCTACTTTTTCAGGAATTAATCGAAAGATTCCCATATTACTTGATAGAGAGTCCAACGGCATTTACATCGGACGATGTACTGGAGTTGTATAACAATGTTCTAGTTTTTATTGTCTCGGCCGGAGATGGAGTTCAGTCAGAGATGCATATATTCCAAGTAAGGTCTTTAGCCGAAAATTCTCTATACAATTTTCTAACTTACATACATATTTAATGTTCTTGCATTATTGAAATAGTCTCAGAGCATATCGGCGGTGCATTTAGTTGAAGATATTAAATATCTTCTGAATAACAGCTCTGGTCGTACAGACTCACCAACGACATACTCTAATCAGGCCATAAGTTTAAGAAAGACCGAAGAATCTGATTTCTACAAAAATACACGAGAACTTTGTAAGTACCTATTATTGTTCTATTTGAAATAAGACCTACTGACCAATTTGTCTAATTAGATAGTGCCAACGTTGGCGCAAACGCTGAATCTCGAATGTTTGAGGACATCGTAAGTGAGAAGTATGAGCGGGAAGTCAATCTTTTAAATAGTTGCTTTGATGATATTGAGAAATTTATTGCTCGACTGCAACACACTGCAGCTGCTGTACGGGAGATAGAGAGGAGGAAATACAAGAAACGTGAAATTGGCGATGGCCTTTTGAACTTGCATACACGCCCTCCTTCCGAACAAGAATTCGTCGACATTTTGGCGAAATTCAAGTTGTCTTTCAATTTGCTGTCGAAACTTAAATCTCATATTCATGACCCCAATGCTCCGGAACTGGTTCATTTTCTTTTTACACCTCTTGCGTTGATCGTTGAGGCTGCGCGTGATACCTATGCTGAGTCCCAAATTGCTTCGAACGTAATTGAGCCACTGCTAACCAGCGACACAATACAATTCTTAATGAACTGTGTCAGTAGCAAAGAAACGGAACTGTGGAAGTCACTAGGTGCATCCTGGATAACTCCAGCTGAACAATGGTGTGAAAGGGAAGATATGAGTAACATTAGAGGCTATAATAGACCATCTCATAATATGGGCGGCAATGAGTTTCCCTTGCCACGGCCAGACCAATATGGGCTGGCAGATGAACAGCAAATCGATTATAGCCATTTACCAGGAACATCAACGTCACGTCTCAATATGTTATCTGGCTACAAATACAAAAACAAAATGTCAGAGCAAAGAAACTTTGATCCATCCATTGGTGAGGAGATCGAAGTCAACCAAGTTCAAGACGTTATGCGATCACAGGAGCAAGTGCTAGGAGGAATGCAAATCCAAAATATTCCCGGAGAAGATATGAGTGACAATGCACCACACTCTTCGAGTCAACATTTAGGAAAATTCAAAGCTCGACATTCACCGATGGAAATGGATACACTGAATGAAAAGTGGCTAAACCAACTCCGTATGAAGGGATCAAAAGTAGTTGTTGTGTGTTATCCGCGCATTGCAAACAACGACAAAGAATTGAGTGTTGTCAAAGGAGAATATTTAGAGGTAAACTAATATAACAACTTATTATTAATAACACTATTAATATGTACATTTCGTCTAGATTATTGATGACTCGAGGAAATGGTGGAAGGTTCGAAATGTAAACGGTAATGTAGGTCATATACCCAGTACAATTGTGGCCCCGGTTTATGTTTCGTCTTCGTCTCACAAGAATTGAGTTGATGTGACCGGAAACAAAAAAAAAAAAAAAATTGTCATTCGAAATATTGTTATTAACAAATAGTTTTTTGATATATGTATGTATCTAATATCATTATAATTGTAGGATGTACAGTGCCAAAAAGAGGTTATTGGCACTGTTACTTTAAAAAGAAACGATGAATTTTATAAAAAGACAAGACATATACAATGTATTTTAATATAAACATATTTACACACATTTAATATTCAATATATTAATAAATAAACTTTAAATCCAAAACTAACATTTATAAGAAAAACAAATTACTAACTTTGAACTTTTATTAAGAAAACATTTGTTATTGATATTAAGATTTAGATTTCATGAATTCATCAACAAAGTCTGTCAGTCTTTTCTTCGATTCTAACGCCATTTTGCATACTTGGTCATATGACATTTTTGGTTTATATGATTCGACAATTTAAACGCTGGTTTATGTATGTTGAAACAAATGTCGAAAAACTCTCTCTAGACGTATTTTTCAAAATTTTATAATATTCAAAATATCTCAAAAATTTGAAAAACTCACATAGAATTTATTTATTAAAATTTATTAAAATCGTCATTCCGTTTGTAACTCATCGAAATAATCATTTTAGATCCAACAAAGTATATATATTCTTGATCAGCGTAAAATTCTAAGACGATTTAGCCCTGTCCGTCCGTCTGTCCGTCTGTTGTAATCACGCTACAGTCTAAACGAATAAAGATAGGAAGTTAAAATTTTACACAGATCCCTCTTTTGTCTGCAGGCACGTCAAGTTCGAAGATGGGCTATATCGGTCCACGATATCGAATGGTCCCCATATCACTGTACCCCTCGATATTCACTATTTTGATGATTTTAGCCACATTTTTTAATGGAATTGTCAGAAAATCCACACAAGGAGCTTTTTGTGAGTACTTTACCCCCTGAAAGAGAATTGTCTATATAGGTCCACGATATCGTATAGAGCCCATATAACGGTACCACCCGATATTCGGTATTTTGACGATTTTAGATACATTTTTCAACGGAACTGTCTGAAAATCCACACAAGGAGTTTCTTGTGAGTACTTTACCCTCTGAAAGAGAATTGTCTATATAGGTCCACGATATCGTATAGCCCCCATATAACGGTAGCCCCAGATATTCGGTATTTTGATGATTTTGAGCCACATTTTTTAACGGAATTGTCTGAAAATCCGCACAAGGAGTTTTTTTGAGCACTTTATACTCTGAAAGAGAATAGTCCATATAGGTCCACGATATCGTATATCCCCCATTCAACGGTACCCTCCATATTCGGTATTTTGATGATTTTAGCCACATTTTTCAACGGAATTGTCTGAATTCACACAAGGAGTTCGTTTTGGGTACTTTACCCCCTGAAAGAGAATTGTCTATATAGGTCCACGATATCATATATCCCCCATTTAACGGTACCCCCGATATTCGGTATTTTGATGATTTTAGCCACATTTTTCAACGGAATTTTCTGAAATTCTACACAAGGAGTTCGTTTTGGGTACTTTACCCCCTGAAAGAGAATTCTCTTTATAGGTTAACGATATCGTATATCCCTCATATATCGGCAACTTCCGATATTAGTGTTTTTTTTTTTAATTTTTTAATTCGTTTCATTTGGTGGAGGGTATTCAAAGTTCGGCCCGACCGAACTTACTGCTTTTTTACTCGTTTTATTTCGCATTTATTTTTTTTTTCGACATACATAAACCGGCCATGTTCTCAAATCTAAATGGAGATTCTTAGATTGAAATTTTCCTTGAGTTTTCGATTGCTGTTAGTGTGAAGTGATATGAATAGGCAAGGAAAAGATTACAAAGTTCTTTACGTCCATAAATTTGTTAAATGAAGAAGAAGAAAAATATAAATAAAGTAAAAATATTTATGATGCTCATTATACATTGTCGCTCCACGCTGTCGTGGGGAGTTATCGTTTTTCTTACGACTAATAAAAAATATATTTCAATAATGATAATAATAATAATAATAATAATAATAATAATAATAATAATAATAATAATAATAATAATAATAATAATAATAATAATAATAATAATAATAATAATAATAATAATAATAATAATAATAATAATAATAATAATAATAATAATAATAATAATAATAATAATAATAATAATAATAATATAATAATAATAATAATAATAATAATAATAATAATAATAATAATAATAATAATAATAATAATAATAATAATAATAATAATAATAATAATAATATAATAATAATAATAATAATAATAATAATAATAATAATAATAATAATAATAATAATAATAATAATAATAATAATAATAATAATAATAATAATAATAATAATAATAATAATAATAATAATAATAATAATAATAATAATAATAATAATAATAATAATAATAATAATAATAATAATAATAATAATAATAATAATAATAATAATAATAATAATAATAATAATAATAATAATAATAATAATAATAATAATAATAATAATAATAATAATAATAATAATAATAATAATAATAATAATAATAATAATAATAATAATAATAATAATAATAATAATAATAATAATAATAATAATATAATAATAATAATAATAATAATAATAATAATAATAATAATAATAATAATAATAATAATAATAATAATAATAATAATAATAATAATAATAATAATAATAATAATAATAATAATAATAATAATAATAATAATAATAATAATAATAATAATAATAATAATAATAATAATAATAATAATAATAATAAAATAATAATAATAATAATAATAGTAATAATAATAATAATAATAATAATAATAATAATAATAATAATAATAACTAGCTGGCCCGGTCCGCGTTGCCGGCCCGTAGTTTTTGTCTATTATTCATATATTCCCAAGCATAATTATTCACAGATATGACTGATATAAGTGTTCACGTACAGGTCGATTTAAAGTGTTTTAAAATACCTGTACCCATTTTTAACCAGTGGGCTTCAATATTTAAACCGTGAGCTTCAACTGTGTGGATGTGCTATACAAATCTATTAAAAAGTATATATCAATCTTATCGCCATATAAGGGATCAAATTAATTTTTAATATGGTAAAAATCGTATCAAAATCTTCCAGTCAAATGAGCAGTAATTTGGAATTTGCTGTATTTTGTATACTACATAATTGAGGGCTGAATGATTTAAGAATAGCCAAAGTTAATTACTTTTTTAAACCCATTAGCAACTTAGATTGTGCATTAGAGTCCTCATAAGTCCCCCTAACCATGTCAGTCTGTTTGTCCGCCAAAAGGTGGACTTGAGAGGGTATTATAACATGGATAAAAATTCTAAAATTTGTAGATATGTTGAAATTTTAGTGTAAGATTTTCACCCCCCTAATACGCATTATTAGCCAAATTCTTTGAAATGTGGTTAAATTAGGAGGTACCTTCTTTATATGGGCACTACTCCGAAACATCGACCTACATTGAAAACTTTCTTCTACCCCTTATAATCCAAGATGACAAATAGAGGCCAAATCAAAAATATAGCAGAACAATATAGCATGTCATAGCATTTCGCGTGATTTAAATAAGTAAAAATAGTTTTATCCACCTCATAATTGAGGGCAGAATGATAAGATGGGAATTAATTTTATTTGCCATTTAAATTGTAAGTTGGAGACCCCTTAAAGTCCATATTTTCATCATATTCGGTCCCGTGCTACTTTCTTATATTTGTAATTTCTTCATGTTTCCACAATTTATTTCATATGGATGCACATCCCAAATCTACGTTCCCAACCAATATTCTCTTGGGGGTTAAAAATTCAATAGAATACAAAATTTTCTTTTCTGACCACACATTAGATGTGAAAGTGGACTTGGGGATACTCCAATGTGGGGACTTTACTTAAATAAATTCCTATGTGGCAATTATCTGTATGATGGTTCCCTACCCCAGGGTGGCATAAATAAAATTTTTTAGCCAAATCAATTGATGAATTTGGTCAATACCAATATGGGCCCTATTCTGAAAATTTCAAATTTTATGCGAAGAGGTTATCTACCCCCTTAGAAACAAAAATGTCAAATAAGGGCCAAAAAATGAAAAAAGGGGCCGGCCAAGACCCCAAAAATAACTTAAATCATAGATGGTTATATAAATATGAAATCGGGTTGTTCCCTTATCCATGAGTTATGATCGATATAAAGACCTGCAAAAGTGATTTTAGGTATTTTGAATGTTTGGGAAGAATTTCTGGAAGGATATAAAACCTTTTCTTACTAAAAGTCCCATTCGCTCTACTATTTTGCACCTTTTATTTCAATATTGGTATATTACTTATTATTCTCCCAAAGAATTTTGCATTTTGAGCTCTCATTGGACGGACCATTGTCACGCTTTGAAATGAGCCCCATTAAGCTTTTTCGGTCATTTTTGTTTGTTTAAATGTGTTCGCATCTTTCAGCTAACCCACGATGTAGGCCCTGGAGTTGAAAGGTAGATGTCAGTTAACATCCTATTTCGCACTTATTTAATTTTTTTAGTGTAAAATTATTCTTTATTTTGTTCACAAAAAATCCACTGAATTCAATATGATAATACAAATTGAAAAAAAAAAAAAATTGACAAAAAAAAGAATAACAAATTGAAAAAGTCTTCAACTTTTTCGCTGATTTTTTACAGCAAATGTTTTAAGATCCTTCCTTACAAAGTTTGTCAATAGAATGTACTATTACTTTAAAATTCGATTCCATTGAAAATGTTTTTTTGATTTTTGCCATGAGATCTTTTTTTCATGATTTTTCAGCGATTTAGAAAAAGTAATTATCTTTTAACTTTGGTGTGACCGCGTTAAATTATTTCGATATCATCTATTCCGTTTCGCCACCACATAATTCGCTACTACACTTCCATGTAACCCGCCATCAATTTCAGTTCTCAAGAAATCAAGTCAATTAAATAAATTGGTATAAATATTCGAATTCAAAAATCTATATATATAAAAGGAAGTTGTGTTAGTTACTACGCTTATAACTTAAGAACCGCTGGACAGATTTTAACGATTCAAACAAATTCGGAATTGTCTCTTTTCCGAAAAGGATAATATCCAAAAAAATCGCGTAAAAATGTGATATATTAACATTTTCATTTTGACTTTTCAAATGTACAATAGTAATGTTTTATTTTGCATGATTTTTTTTTCCATTTTGACTTACTTTTTTCTAATGTACATTTGTAGTGTTTTTTTTTATATTTTTT